AGTGAGGGCTCGGAGTCTCCCCATTGGCATAAAGTCACGGCATTGCCATGAATAAGTCGGTGAATGTCCGCCGCCACCCGTTTAACGGATATAAATCATTTGAAGAACTCAAAAGTTAGGGCAATCCATTCGCCGGAAAATGCGAAGTGAAGCGTCGGCCTTTGTTCTGCCTACCGCGAGTCTTCAGCGCAGGTTGCCATCGCAACGCGCAAGACGCATCGGAGACTTCACGTAGGATGATTCGCACAAGAAGAGAGCACCGTAGACTGCAGTAATTAACAGAAAAAGACCACCGCAAAAGATGCTCGCACTCCGTCCGTACTCGGGGACCCCCGCCTGCCGTGACTCCTCAGATGACAGGCGCCGAGCAGCCGGTCGAAAACAGACGGCGAACTCGCCGTCGTGTGCCACGGCGCGTCGGATCCGCACCGCACGCCACCGGTCGACGACATCGACCGAAGATCTCCGAGCGTCGGTCCCGACGCAAAAATGACAGCTGTCCGATCGCCTTAGCCGCGAAACCGCCGCGATGAAAACAAACAGAGTCGGGCCTCGCGGAGAATGTTATCGCTACACCATCTCGTCTCCGCGCCGCCTCCGCCCACTGTCATTAGGCCCGGGCCGGGGCGGTGCGGGGCCCGTTTGTTCTCCGCCGCCCGGCCCTGGGCGGCTGCCGCCGGCCAGCGGACGCCGACACTGTGAAAAATTGGAACGACAAAGGCGCCCATGTGCCGTGTACGCGCGGGCAGAGCGCGGCAGCGGCGGTAAGAGCGCGGGAGCGGCGCACGGCCGCGGGCGCCTGCAGCCGCCGCCGGGCGACAGATTCCATTTCGCTGTTTGCTTTATCGCAGGAAGCGCGGCGGTTGCAGGCAGCCGCTGAAGATGGAGTCAGATACGGCGATTTAGCAGCACCATACGGCGATTTAGCAGCGCTGGCCGTCGTGGTGTGCTGTTAAACACGGGTGCTGAGCTCGGGGTGAGCACGGCTGCCTGAACAGGCAGGGCCCGGGTCGCACGCCCCTCACTTGTAACTGGCGCTGCGTCCCACGCCACCGCTCCTGCGATGGGTACTCGACGCATGCTGAGTCCCATGTCGCAGACGCACCCCAGCGGCTGGAGATGCGGTGGACGCGGCACGAGTTCCCCACTGCGTCACGCGAGAGGCCGGGAGGCCCGAGAGCACACGTGAATTATCGACAGCGCCTGTGTCGACGGCGCGCTTCGACGAGGCAGCGCGAACGTCACGACGCCGACCTCGTGTCGCAGACCACGTGATCGTGGCCTGGTCAGACCGCCCGCCGTACCCGGGTCGGCCGGGTGGACCACGTGACCGGTCCGGGCCCGGGACGGAGAGAGGGCCGGTCGGCAGCGGCCGTCAGCGGCCGCCGCCATCAGATGAGCCCGCCGCGCGCTGACGGGTCTCCACCCACCCCATTGTGGCGCAGAATGAACGGAAAAATAACACAAAATACGCGGGCCATAATGAAAAATAGGAGGCGAGACTGTTATGTATTCAGGCGGGACAGACGGCGCAGGCAAACCGGCGCTGGCTGGCACGGGCAACGGCCCGGCCGAGCGACGCTGCGTGCGAGAGGGAACGGGTGGGAACGAGAGGCAACTGGTGGGAACGAGTGGGAACGGGCGGGAGCAACAGGGAGCGATGTGGAAACGACATCGAACTGGGTGGTAACGAGACGGAGTGGTCGTGAACGAAGGACAGCAGAGTGAAATCGAAAGGTTGAGAGCATGGCATGGGAAACGGACGGCACAGTGAAGGAACGGAATGACAAAGTACAAGAACAAAGCGGAAACGAGGTAGAATGGGTTTATAGGGCCGGGGCCGTCGACTTAAGGGAAACGAAGTATATAACGGCACTGGCTGAAAAGGAGCGAAGCGTGAAGGCTGCGATGTGGGCTGAAAGAGAATTATGTATTTGACAGGACAGTAAGCCAGCGTAAGCCGGGTTTGACTGAAGTGAATGGAGTGTGCGGTGGCCGCGACTGAAAGGTAGCCCCCTGGTAATGCCTGTCAATGCAGCGAGCTTAGCCGGATCACAGGTCCACGAGGTGTGACGGTCAGGACAGGTTCGTCGTGGCCGTCTGGCGGCTGTGGCTGCAGAGTCGCTGAGGCACGGTCACTGTCGCGGGACGGACCGAGCCGCCCGCGGCTGTGGCTGAGCTCCCCCAGAGCGACGGACGGCCTGCGGCCGGTGACAGATCAGAGCTCGCCACTGTTCGTGGGACGGACGCTGCCTGAGGGTCCGACCCGTCTGCTCCACACGGACCATACCGCCACACCCACGCCTGCCTCCGCGGCCACCTCCCGCTCACCCCGGGCCCGTCCTGCGGCGGTCAGAGCTGGCCCCTGCACGGGCCATGGCGCGGCGGCGGGCCGCGGCGGCGGGCCGGCGGCCGGCGGCCGGCGCGGCACGCCTCCGAGCACCTGCACGGTGGCGTCGGCAGCCGGGCCGGCCGGCAGTAAACTGCGGCGCCACAGACTCACCGGCCCTCCTTCCAATCACATTGACCATTGTTTACACTCGCCGCACGACGTCCGACTGCGGCGCGTAAATCAGACTCGATATTGAGCTCCCTCCCACAGGAGACGTTCACACGTTTTTCCCGGCTGCTGCGGAGGCTGGGCCGCCTCTTTATCTGGAGGCCTCATCTCCGGCGCCGCCGCTGCCGCCGCCGCCGCTGCAACCGCTCTGGGTGCCGCCGTGCCGACTCCAATAAAACCATTATGTGGAAGCCATTAAAGCAGCGAATAAAACTATACAGTCATGATTACCCGACTCGGTAAAAAGCGTTGGACGACCGGCGCGCCGGCGAAGTGCGCCGGTGCGCACCTGTAATGACGCCGTTTTACGGGGTCCCACGGAAACTGTGCCGTCCAATTGTCCCCGCCGAGCCGGCTTTCAAGGGCGGCCGAGATACGACCAATAACAATAAAGCCCGTGGTGTGGCCGGCGAGCACGCCGTCGACCGCGGCGTGTTCGCACAACAACACTGCCGCCGCCGCCGCCGACGCGCCGCGGGCAGCCCCGTCGCGCGCGACGGCAGCCGCGTCGTTAGCACGTGGCTGCCGCGGAGGCGGCGGCGGCGACAGCGGCGAGTCCGCGCGGCCCACAGCCGCCGGCGCCGCCGGCCGACAATGAATATTTAGGGAGAACAAAGGGGCCGCCTGTTGATAGATGGGCGCCGACCGGCCAAGGGGTCGGCCCGCCCGCGCCCGGCCGGCCTGTGATCAGCACCGCCCCCCGCCGCCCGCCGCCGGTCAACAGCGCACGACGACGCCGACAAAAGGCCGCATGCTAATCAGGTCGGCGCCGCCGTCGCCGCCGCCGCCAGCTCTGCCGGTTCGTCTCACCGGCGCCAGGTTGGCCGCGCGCCTCCGCTGCTGCGTTCGGCGATGACGCGCGCCGGGCAGACAGGCGCTCGTCGCGGAAGGCGCTCAGCCAGCCGACGTTTGACAAATATTTTGCCGCCACGCGCCTTTGTGGACCAATCGCGCATCCTCGTGGCGGGTTACTCTATCGGAACGCATTGAGCTATTGGAAACGCGGCGGCGGCGGCGGCGGCGGCGGCGGCGGCGGCGGGGCGGGGCGGGGCGGACCGTACGTGACTGGCTGCGCGGCCCTGGTCGTGACAGGTGTGGGGATGTCAGGGCCGGCACGTGAGGACGCCAGGCGGCGCCGTGCCGTGACGGGCCGCACTTGGAGACGCCGGTCGACAAAGTTGCCGATCTGGACGGCCTCCGCTCCAATTTCCCAAAAGCACAAACGCGTTAAATAAAGTTTATATGGCCAGAGTTGACGGGAGCCGGCGGTTAATCAGCATTCATGGATTTCGCAGATGTCATGGGTCTGCGGCAGCAAGTAATTTGGTGGAAGACCGGTTTACTGCATCGTAAACACGGCCCAGCGATGAAGAGCGGACGGGCTGTCTGGCCGCTGTGACAGGCGCCGCCGCTGTGACAGGCGACGCCGCTCCAGGCGATGGCAGCCGCCCGTCCCGCCCCCTGCAGGCCCCGTGCAGGCATCAGCGCTCCCAGGCGGCGCCGGCGCCCCTCGGGCAGCGTACAGCCGGGCGCGGGCCCGCCGCCGCCCCGGGCCGCGCTCCAGGCGCGGGCGGCACGCCACCGGCGCCCGGTCCGAGGGCCGCCGGCCGGGAATGTGTTCACACCGGCGCGGCGCCGCCGAGCTGCTGGATTTACTGCCAGCCGCCACCGCAGACGGCGCCGGCGCCGGCGCCGCTGACGCGGCACATTCGGCGCACATGCAGCTATGCGCCGGTCTCGGTGCGCGGCGGACGGGGGCGGCGCGCGGCGGCTCCGGCTAGCGAGCTGAAAGCGGCTTTGTGGCCGCCACCTCCGGCGCCCGTTTCGCTTTGAATGTCGTCTTTTGAGCGGCGCGGCCGACAATGAGGCGTCAGGAGTGGCCCAGACAGGAACAATGAGGAGGCTAGCCGAGCGGATCGCGCGAGATCACATCGCGCGCCGCTTTTTGCCGCGCGCGACCGATACGGACCAGCCGCGCGCGCGAGGCGGCCGGTATCGGAGCGATTTGGCGAAATGGCGCCGCCGGGGTCATAGGGCACGCTGCTCGGTGGAGCCGGCTCACGTGGCGTACGGGCAAGATGGAGGACGGCTTCTACAGACGGCAGTGATGAAAACTTGCGATCGAGAGAACCCTGATCAGGCTGAGCCATGGAGCTCAGAACCTTGCAGTTCTGTGGATGGTTCATTCCCCTGTATTTGATCGAGCCGCGCTCACCACGACAGCAGCCCTGGTGCTGGGCGTCGAGCGCTGGAATGCAAAAGCATTTCCTGCCCGTCACTGGCTGAGACTAGCACCGCCGGAAGCAAGGCGCTCTCCCTCGTCCCACATCCGCTGGCGGCGCCGCGTCCCGCCCCGCCAGCTGGCCGCGCCGGTCGCGACCCGGTGCTGCCGCCCTGCCAGCTGCCGCCCGCCTCGCCCCGGCCCGGCGCCGGTACTGACCTGCGTCTGCGTGAGACCTAGACTGGCGGCTAGCTCGGCCCGCTCTGGTAGCGCCAGGTACTGCGTCCGCTGGAACCGCCGGTTCAGCTGCTGCAGCTGCAGTGACGAGTATATCGTGCGCGGCTTCCGCATCTTCTTGCCCTTGCCGTTCACCCGCACGCCTTCCGTCAGCTTGTCGTCTGCAAGGAGAGCTGTGTCAGCGCGGCGTCATGGCAGGCCGTGCGATGCAAGGGGGAGGGGTGGCGGTGGGGAGTCGACGCGCTGGTGGTCGAAGGCAGCCATTTCGATGGGCCACGTCACTCACATGCACTCGTCGTCGCAGCTATTGCCGTGCGTCGGACAGCCGCGCAAACAAACGAGATACCATGGACGGAGCGGGTGCCGGCCGCCACAGGGAGCGCGCCACGAGCCTGGGTCAGCTGGCTTTCGTCTCGTCGGGGGAGCGGGACGGCCGGAGCGAGCCGCCTGCGGCACCTGCGCTCATTCGTAATGGAGTGTTTTCACCACGACCTTGGGCGGGACGACAATGACAAAGAGGCGTACCAACAATCCATTGTGTTCGCTATCCGTTTTTGACGAGGTGTGGAGGCATCCATACGTTTCAAAGAAGTCATCGAAGTTCATTTCGCCGTCTGCGATTACGTTGAGGTCTTTGGCTATACCTGCATCACATAGCCAACTGAGCTGCATGATGGTCCAGATGACGCCATGGACCAGGACCCTGATTGGCCTCTCCACGAGCGGGAGGGAGGGAAGAAGGCTTGAAACAGCAGTGATCTATATCATCTGCTGTTCAATTACGCTTCAAGTTAGGTAGGGCAGCTTTCATTTCAAAATTGTCATCGCGCTTAAGTCGGTAGGTACCTGCATTCTTTCAGCATGGGTTTCAAGCTATTCTGAGTCACCGCAAGAGACGTCTGAGGCGAGGGTGCATGGACTCGTTTAAGGCTGCTGCTTTACTGGTGCTGGACGCCGGTTGAAGTCGAAATCAACTTCGGAATCGTCTGAATTTAGTTCAGTTAGAATGAAATCGTTTCCTTTGTTTTTGTGGTAAGATTATTGTGAGTGTCTCCCACTTTTTTGAAAGCTTCTAAGCACTTTGCCAGCGTAAATCAAGCTGTCCCAGCAAAGAACATGTCTTAAATGTAAGATGAAAGGGAGTGACAGACGAGCAGTCAGTTACCCGTATGCCATGAGTATTTCATTGTTTAAAGAGGTTCCTTCGTCATTTTGATAACCATCAATTAGAATGAAGGTCTGTGTTTTAATAGGAACGTTGTTGTTCGGGGGATACGAAGCATCTGCCATGTTGCAGGAAAAGGAACATTAGGTCGATGCCACAGTTGGGAAAGGGATTAGCACCCTTCGAAATGTGCGTCATATTTTCCCCTTTTATGCCAAAATGTGCATTGGTGTGGACAGGTAATCGTTTCAAAAATTGTATTCGTGTTACCGAAAGTGAATTTCTGGATAGTACCGAATACAACGAACGTACAATGCTTGTGTATGCGATTCAATTACAGAAAACACCCAAGGGAATCAAGAAAACACAAGTCTTGATTCTAGCGATTCGGTGGGAGCTTATTCGACCGGAACTAGAAACAGACCTTCGGATTTGGTGATTTGATAGGATCATGTGATCACCCTGGACGGGAATGGAAGGCTAGAGAACGATGCACATTCACAGGTTTACCGAGCACATGTCTGCGGAAGAACCGCTCAGTTGGCCGATTAGATGCGATCTTGTTGCAGTACCTACATTGCTGTCCATCAGTGGAGCTGTCGGGAGATGGGCAGCATGTATCTTTATTTTTTATCACATTATCTTTGTTTTTATCTTGAATGCATTTCAAAATTTGGGGTGACTTGTAGGTGTCCAAGTCCAACCGTGTGATCAGAAAGTACTTTTTTCCTCACGATGTCGGAGAATTCTGGATAAACACGATGATGCTCAAAGGTGTGCTCTGATTAAGACTCCGTATACCAGCCATGTTACAAAATGTGATAAAGGTGTTCAGTTTGATGGAAAACGTATAGCTGGGGCACCCTGCAACGTTCATGAAGTCATTTCGGTTCGGGTAGGACGTAAATTGCTCTTCTTACGCTCGTTCGGTTTTGCACCGGCATCTAAAAGGTATATTTTCCACGCATCAACATTCTCCTATTCAAGGCAAGCCAACTGACCTCAGTATCCATTGAAATATCCTTAAAACTTATGGCCCCACAAAGTGCCGGCAATCGCAAATTTAACCTTAAAGAGCGTAATTTGCGCCTGGGAGCGCGGAAACCGGGAGGGGCTGAAAATGGCTCTGACACCAACTTTTTGAAAACATGATACGGGCTGTGATAAACGTTCAACTATGGGCTGGGCGCTTACCCGGAAAAAATTAGTAAAATATGCTATCCACCAGCCTGGGAGAACTTGCCTTACCCCTGCTCGCTGTCGTCCACCCAACTGGAAAAGTATGACGCGACCCACACCAGCCTGGGAGAACTTGCCTTACCCCTGCTCGCTGTCGTCCACCCAACTGGAAAATTATGACGCGACCCAAGTTGATCATCGAAGACCGAGATCAGCTGCCTGCTGCACCTTTTTCTCAGTGTACACGTGAGATTCTAGCCACTGTGAAATGCGTAGCTTACAAGGCAAATGTTTCAAAAGGCAAACATGTGAACGTTCGCTAGCTAAGTTCGATGCGTTACTTCCTGGAGAAACGACGTCTTTAAGTTCCTCAGCCACAACGGGAAGAATGGACGACTCATGGTGAGGCTAGAAAACTTGTGCTGATGCACTCGAAGTTTGATAAAAGTCCGTTTTCACGCCGTTGCTTGGTAACATTGGCGCAACTCACGGCCGCGCCGCGTCATTCCCACGGGCCGATATCACTCTCGGTTTCGATCATCGAACCAGTCTGCTGAGGAAGAGGTAACATCACTATTGCACGAGTGAGGACGCTTTATCCATAGTCTCACCAGCACAGTTCCTGCGAGTTTGAGCGAGGTGTTGACGCCGCATTAGGACATTCCTTCCATAAATTATGAAGCCGAAAAGTGACGAGTTTTGGCGTGGAAAAGACGCGTTGTACAAACATATCTGATCGCAGTAAAATGAAATGTATGCTGCAAGCACTCGTGACGGTTTCTGTTCGAAATCGTTCCGAATTGTTATCGTAAGCTATTTAACAATTGGACTATCTTACCAGCTGTACCCTGGTTATCAGTTCCATTACACGCCCATGGTAGGTCCGTGGGGTCCGATTTATGACAACGTAGAGACATACCTGGCCGTGCAGCATACGCTCGCACTGACAGCACGAGACCGTACAATTCGCCTCGTAGTTTTCACAAGAAAAGTCAAGAGCGTTGTTATTCTAGACAATCCATTTCTGAGGGTATTCGTTGTTAAGCTAGATATGGAGAAAACGGACGACTGCTCGTCTCTGATGTCTTTTCCAATACGATTCTTATACCGAGGTAAGTTATTATGTTGTATCTCATAAACTGTGTCAATAAGCATTATTGTTCTGTTACATAAACATCCACCCAATAATGATAACCCAAGTCAAGCTAGTTTCAATTCAGTCAAATCGAATAACACGACTGCAATGAACGGGATAATGCTAAATCAGCAGGAAACACGAGACAGGCTGCAGTAAGTTCCAACGACATCAAACATCGATACAATTTACGGCTATTGATGGGTCTTGCTGTACAGCGGGCTTCATTGTAAAATTAGTCGGCTTATAATATATCGTACCAAGGCTCAGGTGCTCCCAAAATATCATTTATTTATTTGGCCAACCACTGATGAAATAACGTCTAACCAAAAATGAGGAGCAAGCTCATTCTAGGAATGACTTGGATGAATGAACGCATAAACCGAGGCACTCATCAGGTGTACCGTGTATCACACCGCAAACCCGCACGGGGCACCGCGAGAGACAACGGTGATCATGCCAGCGGCCAGCGGGTGAGCCGGGAGTTGACCCACTTGGGTAACTGATTGCAATGGCACTGCACCCAGTTGCAGTGGCACTGCACCGGAGCATGTGATAGCGCATCCCCGCATAGAGCAAACGGCTCGCTCTATGCAGGGATCCCTCACCACATGCCCCCGGACAACCGGACTTGATTTGTTTAGCATGAGGGGTCGCGAGGTGCACTTAAAGGTCAGTGGTTGATCCAAAGGTCATCGCTTGATCACATAGCGACTAAGTTAAGGTCGGTGCCAAATGTTTGCTTATTGAGCTGGCGCGATAACTGACCCAACAGCGATGCTGTTAAACCTAACGATGCCACTGATTTTCGGTTTGCTGTCAGTTGTGTGTGATAAAAATAAGACTCATGAGGGTCTTACACACAATTTGGCCCTTATTTTTGAAAAGAGCTAAGTTACATCTTGGGACGAAACGCGTGTTAGTTGTAGGAAAGGTTCTACGCGCCTAGGTTTTGGTAAGGTTGAATAATGATGACACTGCAATTGTGAAGAATTATTGATGCGGGTGTGTGTGTGTGTGCACCTGTTGTGGGCTTGGTAGAGTTGAAGGTTATGCTCTAATTCACTTCACGCAGCTGATCTTCAGATGAGGATGTAGGCACGACATTGAAAGCCCTCGATTCTGGTTCTTGACGTACTGAACCCCTGATATGTCGTGCTTATCAGTCGGGAGGCTGCGACGCTTTCAAGTAGATGAGGCAGAGGCGAATCCGGCGCCGGACTCCCGCGACGCGAGCATCGCACACCGTGTCTTCAGCTGAGTCAATACACGGAAACCGAAGGAGATATAGGGTGAGTAGTTTTGCTCAATGCCGGACCATGTTTAGAGAGACGTGGTCTGCTGCCCCCTCCCCGCCTCATCTGCCAGCGCAATCACATGCGCGCGTCGAGAGGCGTAATTGATTTCCATGTGGCACAGAAGAATTGGCAACAATAGTCAATACCCACTATAAGCAGAAGGTTCGACCAATACCAGCAAAGCGACGGACGTTGTACTCGTAAAGCCATGTCTTCCTAACCTTAACATCTTTTCGGGTGGTGGGTCCGCGTTCGGCACATTCACGTATGTACATTCTGTATGTGCTAAAATAACACCATGTGTTAACAAAAGAACGCGCGAAAGGCGTGGGCTCCACCAGGCTCCACCTGCTGTGCACCGACATCATAAATCGTCACGGACAA